CTGTCATTGATTCAGTGGCCTAACGCTCATTGGGTAGGTTAGTTAAAAACTAAGGGCCCCCGACAGTTAGGACCCCATCAACCACGGCTTATCGCCCAGAAAATTAGAAAACGTAAAAATGCAGGTTAAGAATCAATGGGAAAATGAAAAATTAATGATGCTAAATAATAAAGCCCCCATCGACAACGGTAGCTGATTTTGTTATTCCATCTCAAATAAAACAAAAGTTATTCTTATTGGTTGTTATATGAGACTATTATTGTTATTGTTATAAACACGGAATTTTCCAGAACATTCTATAAATATTCAATATAAATATAATATCTCAGTCAAACAATGACAACAGTCAACAGGGGCCCCCACACTAATATGCATAAGGGCCCCGCCCTCTTCCTCCGTTACGCCGCCGCTGCATTGATTCTGAATAAACATTAATATATTTCAAAATTTAATAATATCATGACAAAATACATTAAAACGATGTAAATCAGGTGAAAGTATCATATGCATAATTCTTAGTCGCATATAAAAAGTACATAATTTTTTTTATTTTTTTAAATCAACGATATATAGCTTGGTCACTTCTCTTTTGTTTATTCCTGCGCATGATCTAGACCACTAGTAAGTCCTAATCTTTGGCCCTCTCGTATGCCTAGTTACCGCAACGATGTGTACGATGTGACACGATGTGTACGTACGCGGTAGCCTACGTGGGTGGGTATAGAAATTATGAAAGGATATTTTGCGGAAATTATTTTATCATCCAAATCAATAAATCTAAAACTGAGCGAAAATCCGAATAATGCGACTCTACTAGCTGCATGCCCAACTATAAAGACATTGATCGATGTGACTAATTCTCATCGTCTGTATGAGACATTGTTTACTTCGAATCTATTGTGATAGTATCATTTTAAGACTCCATGCAACTGACTCTAGTTGCCAAGCCATGTTTGTATCATGTTTCAACGGATGTAAATCGCGGGAGTCTAAATTAATCACTATGTCTTAATATTGAGAAAGTAACCCTGCAAATTAACACTAAAAGAATAAATACCCTACAGAAGCATCCATTCACTCATTCAGAGGAAACCATAATGGTTATAGATTCACGTCTCGCCGCAGTTTATGACTACCCTAGCTGACCCTTAACCGCACGATATGAATCTATATGGTCATTAATGGTTAATCTGCGTGTCTATCTATAACCAGCATAATAATATAAGCCAAAGCCAGCATAATAAAAAAGTGAAGAGACCAATTATGGTGCTTTACGAACGTAAGCCTCAACGTGTTGTCGTGTTTACTTATCAATTTAAGGTTAAGAGACACGCTGCGCGTGTTGTTCACATTGAAATTGACGGCCTGTGTTTTAAACGAATTTATCTCAAACTTTGCTAGCCATACAATGAATCCTAAATCAGTTGATATACATAGGTTTCACCATTTTCGCCAAAGTTTCGTTAATTTTACAGAGAAAAACGCACTCTCTAATTCCGGCGAAACGTTTTGTTATATTAAGCTATTGTTTTATCAAATAGCCACAGATAGTACCTCTACAAAAGTAGGTTTTCTTCTTCTTTTTGTGATATATAATTTTTTTATATAAATCTAACTATTAAGTTGTTTTGTTGTTCGGACAAAACCCGAGCTTCGAAAGTTTTTGAATCTGGCATTTTCACTGAACTGATTCCGATTATGCACAGCTGAACAAAGGGGAAACGTTTCCGCCGGGGTTTTTGATACTTTCGATTGTCAAAGCAAATACATCGCCCATATTCTCATGGTAACGGTGCCTCAATTACATTCGATCGAGCTGGTACAATGGTTTCTTTATGGCGTCTATAGGTCAAATGTTGTATTCTTATTGTTTTTGATAATTTTATATCATGTGAGTCCCCATATTGGTTTGCTTCCGACTGCCTTGTTTGATAATGACCACAAACTTTTACGCCTGTATTCTGAAAGCTCACTGGCACACTCAAAGAGTGGAGGTTTAATCTGAGCTTGACTTTAGTGTCCATGCTGTTTTTGAACAGCTGGGGGGGGGGTGAGTAGGGGTGAGAGTTAGTTACGGCACTAACCCTCCAGTTTTTGAAAAACAGCATTGACACTCAAGAGAAGCTCAGATTGAACCTCTACTCTTTGAGTATGAGTGAGCTTTTAGAGTACAGGCGTTAGATTCTAGTCTTAGATTCGCAGCTTGTCGCCATGTGACAAAAATTATTTCAATTAAATATCTCCAAAATAAATATATCCAAAATTTATTTCGCGTAAATATCTCCAAAATTTAGTTTTCACCATATATAAAAGATCTCAGCTTTAAGAATGCAGTCACATAAAAATACAAAAACGACGATTTTGACCCTCCCAACATGTTAGAGGCGTAGGACATCCATATACAAAGACAAAGGAATTTATGGGTGTACAGTGAATTAATTAATTGTAAATTAATTAAGTGGGTGTATACGTCAACTCTTTCTCGTCTTGTTTTTACTCATTTGTTGGGGTTGAAAATGCTACTCTTTATTATGTTTGGTTTTATATTTTTTAAATTAACAGCATGATAAGTTCCCACCTCACGCAAAAGTGTTGATATCAATAGACAATAGTTGTTTGGGACATTTAGGCGCGGTCACTAATTCAATATTGGAAAAGTCAACAAATCAACAAAGCCCGCCAAATTCGATATCCGGTACTAAGTTTGGCACGTGCGATTTTTTCTCGCGCGGGCAACCGCAACGGGTCAAATTCGCGGCGTTGCCGGCGCACGGAAGTGACACGTGCAATAATTTTGTCGTCTGGTAAGACAAGTAGTGCAAAACTAGAGTTTTCCAAACCGAGGCTAAATTCATGATTTCTTGGCAAAATTTAATTTTAGCGCTCTTATTATTCTTCAACATGTTGAATAATTTTTGGCACGAGTGACGATATTTCCTCCAAGTGTGTGCACGGGAAAAGCAAACAGCTTTAATACTATCGATATTATGCGAATATACGGATGCGCATTATTTGCCGAATGTGGGCGAGGCAATTTTCCGTTTCGTAAACCGCCAGGGACACCAGTGAACAATCTAGAGTTTGGCCAAAAAATCCGCATTATCTAGTAAATAACCACGATATTCGATAATATCCATGAATGCAATAAAATAAGCACAGCTTCAATTTTAATTAACATAAAAAAACATGTTAAAATAAGCTAGAAATCATGCAAAAGAACTGTTTTAGGTTTTTAAAAAAGCTGTCTACATATCACAAAATAATATCATGATAGTACTTGCATGACCATATAACGACAACTACGGTATATTGAGTATATCGTATACGGTCACGTTTCTACCGTGGATACGATAATGAGCGAACTTTACCCAACTAGCTTCATCACAAACGCTAATATACAGGGTGTCTAAAAAAAAACGCTATGGAAATTCAACAGGCTGTTGTGCATCACAAACTTAACTAAACAATTTCATTTTTACATAGGGTGAAAGAGCTGTTAGTTTAGCTTTTCTGCGATATATTTCTTAAACCGTAACGATGCGAAATGGTCACATACTCGTCAAATAAAAATTTTCGGTCGAAATCACATTTGGGAATTGAAAATAATTAATTATGCAAAGTTAATAAATTCAAATGCACCGCGAGTCTGCTCCAATTAAGGTACTTGTTTCGTAAAACGTTTTGATTACGAAAGTTCTCTGTTCAGGGGTTAATTGAACCATGTTTAATGCAATGATGACGTTCTTATGGTCTCACTAAGACGAAGATTGACGAGTTGAGCTTATTTTAGATCATTTAACACACAATTTTAATTCCCTCTTGGGAATTGTTTATGTTTCGTTTTCCATGCAATATTCCCAACGGTGGAAGAATGTGATTTCGACCGGCAATTTTTATTTGACGAGTAGCTATGTGGCCATTAACTAAAACGATTTAAAAAAAGTATCATTGAAAAGCTAAATAACTGTTCTTTCGTCCTATGTAAAAATTGAATTGTTTAGCCACGTTTATGATGCACGACAGCCTGTTGAATTTCCATAGCGTTTTTTTTAAGACACCCTGTAGAGTTCGGGACTTCGACGCTTCGGCACTTTGACTTTGAAGAGCCAGTTTTAAAGGCGTTATCTGAAGTGGGGAAAGAAGATATTCGCGTAAAGACAATGGAAAAGTTGCTTGAAAAAAGCTAACTACACGGGACCTATCAGCCGAAAGTTTAAAAATGTTAATTTGAAGGCGAAAATTAATTAAGGGCCTGTTCATATGGGCAAAAGTTATCCCGGTTAACGAGAAAACTTTTCGACCAGCCAAATACTTTTGTTCTGCTCATATGGTCATATGGAGAAACTTTATCCCGCTTACCGGGTAAAGTTTTCGGCTGTGACGTAGCACTGAACATCAATTAAATTGAAAAGTTGCTGACACGACAGAAAGTTATCCCGCTAAGCGGGAAAATTGTGTTCATATGGGAAAATCATTATCCCGGTCACCGAGATCTCGCCTGTCAACAAGCGAGATCTCGGTACACGGGAAAACGTTTTGTCTCATATGAACGCAGTGTAACGGCGTACTTTTCATATTATTCTCATACAAAGGCCAGATCTCGCTTGTAAACTTGTCGAAAAGTTTTCTCGCTAACCGAGATAACTTTTGCCCATATGAACAGGCCCATCAATCGAGCAAACAATACTCGACACAAAACTATGGATATCTCATTTCAAATTCACCGGATATGACGCACGTTGAAAGTGGTAACACTGATTTTATCACTGGTGGTTTACGAAACGGAAAATTGCGGCCAGGCTCTGGTACTATATTGTGCTATTTGCTTTTCCTGTGCGCACACTTGGACGAAATCGCCACCAATTTTCCGACTCGTTATATCCATGCGTATTGTCCCAACCCCATTTTCTTGGTTAATGTATAGTGACAATTAAATAACATGATGCTTGTGATGTTACTCTGAGTGTATATCCACACCGGGCAAGCTTGAAAAATATGCCTGACCACGGTGGGAATCGAACCTACCTTTGGAATACTAGCCCAATGCTCTGCCAACTGAGCTACGCGGTCAGGCATATTTTCAAGCTTCCCCTGTGTGAATATACACTCAGAGTAACATCACAAGCATTATATTCACCTGAGTACATTACACCAACACAGAAAAATTATATAACAGTTCAGTTAGAGCACCTTTCCCACAGTGTTTACCTTGTACTGCTGGATTTTGTAGACTGTACTGATAGGGCCTATAGGCATAGTGTCACGTGGAATGATTATCCGGTTGTGTACTATTTTAAAATGTATCACTTCAATTTGATACGCTCCAAATAAAAAATAAATATTTTTTTGAAGACTGATTATTACTATTATAATTTTCTCGTGTTTAAGGTAGCAATGATAAATAAGTTTCCCAAGAAAGGACTGCAAATTTCCTAAAATTCGACGAGATTCAGTTGGCTTTCGCGTTTTCTATATCAAGGCCCGATTTACGGACTCTCATAAATGGTAGAAAATATAGCGTGAGGTGTGGTTTTAATAGGCGTTCTGGAGCTCCTTGGGTGGAGACGTCACACTTAACTTAGGTCCCACGTTCTCACATGCTTCAAAACGTCTTAAGCCCCGTTTACACTACGCTCGATTTTTGGTACGGCACGGATAAAATTTATATATATATATATATATATATATATATATATATATATATATATATATATATATATATATATATATATATATATATATATATATATATATGTATACCTAAATCCATGCAAGACTGCATGGGCATGGCAAGAGCCATTTGAATGATCGGCTTTGTAAAATGTTTTGCCGAACTACAGTGCAGGCAACATTGAAAATTATACTTTTTGACTGTACACGTTTCAGTGAACTCTCTCTCTCTCTCTCTCTCTCTATATATATATATATATATATATATGTATCTGGTGCAAAAACTGCAGTCATTCCGGCGCCCTATCAGAAAAGTGAAGGCAAGATGGCGGAAATTGACGTCCAATGGCAATGGCTATGAGGGTCGTAAATTAAACAGTTTTAATACCATTTTCCCAGCTAATTCCAGTTTTTTTTCTTCTAACGTACCACATCACAAAACAAGTTATCAGTTCACAAAACCATGTCCATATATAGCATTATTCTTTAAATCGAGGTCAAAATACAAAATTTCGGCACCGCGCTCCTATAGTCATACAGCTTCGTGTTAACCGCGCAGACAAAAACAAATAGAAAGGGATCTCAGCTTCACTTTTGGCAGCAATTTACATCATAGCACTCGTGCAAAGGAAGCAAAAAACTTCAAAAATCGTATGTTTTGTCATATGTGTTGAAGAGTTACCATGCACAAACACAATTTTTAATCCAGTGCCGGCCCTCGGCAATCTTGCGTCCGTGTTGACAAAAACGTAGCGACGTTTATAGCTGATTGATCGGTATAACAATTTAAGATGTAATGAATATGGTCTTACCTGCTGTAAATTTCTAGGAACACTAACACGAATGCCACCGTTCAGAAACTGTGAGTCCAACTTGTAAAAACTGTTATATATATATATATATATATATATATATATATATATATATATATATATGCAAATTAGCTCTTATATGAGTTATGACTAGAAGCTGTATATGATCGGTTCGTACCGGCTTAGTTATATATATATATACATAGGTGGAAAAAAAGCCATGAGTCATGCTTTAAGTCACGAGGCGGCGCCTGGAGGCGGGACGTGCCGCTTGTGAGTCGTGGGTAGGAAAATTTACCTCCTGCACATAATTCCTTATAATTCGTATCCTGAATCTTGCAACATCACTGAACAAAATTTACGAAATTTCTATTTTAACAAAAATACGTGATACACGACCACATCACGCAAAAAGGGTGATATCCATAGATGTTTTCATATGACGCGGTCACTAATTCAGTATTAGAAATGTCAATAACTGAACAGAGCCCGCCATATTCGATCACGACTCACGAATCATGCAATTATATGCTGAGGCTTTATATCCGGCCTAATTTAGGCTTGCCGTTAAGATTTGTAAAAATGTTTCTCCTTCCAAGTTTCAACCCACATTATCTTATCTGCAATTCAGTTACACGTATTGATTATCAAAAATAAATCACAACGTTTCCCAAAATAAATTTAATAGCGTTTCCACAGGATGTGACGAGGTCACAAGGGAGAAATAAATGAGGAGCCAAATGCATGAAAGAAATTTAAATTATAACAATTACTGCCGGAGAGCAATAATTTTAAATCGTTCAAATGTTTTCAGGTAATGCAGGGATTTAGCAAAAATTTAACGACAAAAAAAGGGGAACACAAATGTGATGGGCATAAAAGCACCAGAGGATATATGGTTCTGCATGTGACTGCACTATAGACAATATCACCCAAACACTTTCGATTTGGCAGTATCAATGACCTAGCTTGCTCCACCGAAACAAAATACTACAGTTTCGTCAGATACAAACAATATAATTTGAAATTGTTTACAGTGACCTACATTTGCCATACATGCATGATGGCATCACAGCGGCGACCATTCCTGCCAGAAGGCGTATATAGTTGCATTTTTCGCAACTGCTCTTGGTTCGGTCTAATAAATGTATAAATTTCCGTCCACAAAACCCTTCCACAAGTATTAGAGCGTATAGAGGTCTGTCTAACTAAAGGATGTTGAATTGCGCTTTGAGAGGCTGAGCCGTCGAGCCGCTATGTGTAATATCCGTGAAAATACTGATGAAAATATATCAATTGCATGAGGAGGGATGCTATTGATACATGTGTTGCTGACTGTGAGTTTTAATTAAGCAGTTTTCGGAGAGCTATTTGTGTAAATATTTCAAGTAGATCACACTGGCAGTAGGAAACATGAGATTATCATGAGAACTACTGGGTGAGTAAAAGAAAACTGACACCTTTGTTATAATTTGAATATCAAAGGTATCAGGTTTTTTTTACTCACCCTGTATGACTATGTATATCTGTAATATTCTGTTGAGAAATCTGAAGACTATAGGACTATAGTCTATTATACTAAGGCCTGTTTTATACGTCGAATTTCGGTCGTGTCCCATGCAATTCAAACAATAGATAATGAAGCTTAATGAGGTTTATAATCTCATTATCTATTGTCTTAATTGCATTCGACGCGACCAAAATTCGACGTATAAAACGGGCCTAAAAGGCATTGTTGTGTCACTATTTAATAATACAATAATACAGTAGTTTGAATGGGTTGAATTTAATACAAAAAATAAAATACTAGTTTACGCCGGACTAATCATAAGGCCTGTTTTATACGTCGAATTTTGGTCGCGTCGAATGCGATTAGACAATAGATAATGAGATGATAAACCTCATTAAGCTTCATTATCTATTGTTTGAATTGCATTTGACGCGACCGAAATTCGACGTATAAAACAGGCCTAAGTCGTTTTAACTTCAATTAAAATACTAGAAAATAATCATTAGTAAATTTGTCATTAGTTCCAACCGAGAGCTGATAAAACAAAAGAATATAGTCGGTTCACGCGATAAAATTTGCTAGTGGAAAACCGGAATTTGTCTTTTCTAATTAGTTCGACCCGAAAAATCACAACACAAAGAAAAATTTCGCCTAATCGAAAATCAGCTTAAGAATTAATCACCTTTTTGTTGTAAACACTCAAACTATATTACCTCTGGGAGTTTAGAATGATTGTAATCGTTTAAAACTGTATAAATTGTACATGGAAATTCTAATAAATATAAATGTCGTTTCGCGCACTAGCGACTTTTTTCGTGCGAATCGACTTTATTCGATCTCGGTGTGTAAAAATGCTGTCTCATCCTGCTCTGTGTAAAGTTTACTTTGAGTTTTGACCAAGATTTTACCGACAGTTATTCAACAATTGGAACTCGATTGAGAAGCCAATACAAGCCACATTTATCCACATGCAGCCGGAATTGCCTGAAATAGTGAATTAAAGTTCATGCAGTTGTTTGGCCCAGCCGCCAACGGACACGCCCGACGCAAGCTATTTATAACTTACTGTCAAAACAATATCAAAATAACAAAAATTATCCCGGCAAGCGGGATGAAATTTTCTCATATAAATACAAGAGAAATTAATCCCGCTTACCGGTGTATTAATTGAGTTTGGTTCAAAACAACTCTACTGCATGAGAGTTCGTGTATATGCTTGCAGTTGACAGGTTTCATTTGTCATTATATAGCCGTATTTTATAATATAGCATTTGTAAATTCTGAACGCTGATTGGCTAAGAGCCGTGTTGATATAACTCAATGTCAACATGGAAACGTCGGAAAATTTCTTTCTTTATTTTTCTTTGTGCTATATTATAAAATAAATATAAAACATTTTTTTCGTATTGATATACGTATAGTTATATCATGCAACACTCGTGGAAATTGGGAAAACTCGAAATTGTGTGAAAACACTTCGCCCTTCGGGCGTTGTGCTTCCACACAATTTCTCGTTTTCCCAATTTCCACTCGTGTTGATATAACTGTATATCACACGGAAAATGTTTTATATTGTTAAATGTGTGACTGATGTCCCACAGATCGCAATTTTGACCTTTTCCGGTTACTGCTAGCAGGGCCGTATACAGCGAAGGGGCAGGGGGGGCAACTGCCCCCTAGAAAAAAACTATACTTACGATTTTTAAAATGAAATTATTAATTATTCTTTGGATATTTGGGACTTTTTTCGGGATATAAGCCTTTCTGCCCCCTGGTGAAAAAATCCTGCGTACGGCCCTGAGTCTCCTAGTCATGTATATCAATATATGAACACTTCAGGTACTTTACCTATTAAGGAGAAAAGTATTTCTCGATGGAGAAGTGCTTTTTCTCTTTCATATGTCAATTTCATTGGAAGATCGACGTGTACTTATTGCAATGCCAGTGCCAGTAGCGTAACGCTGATTGGGTAGAGTCCCCGACAGTTAGGCACCCCCATCAGCCACGGCCTATTATCGCCCAGAAAATTAGAAAACGTAAAGAATGCAGATTAAAAATCAATGGAAAAATGCAAAATT